GTGTGTGTGTGTGTGTGTGTGTGTGTGTGTGTGTGTGTGTGTGTGTGAGAATTTTAGTTAGTTTGGATAAAAGGTTTATCTATTTTGGTGACTGTCTCAAAGAACAAACTCTTTGTTTCATGGATTCTTTGTATTGTTTCCTTTGTTTCTATTTTATTTATTTCAGCCCTCTGATTATTTTCTGCCATTTACTCCTCTTGGGCATGTTTACTTCTTTTTGTTCTAGAGCTTTCAGACGTGCTGTTAAGTTACTCGCATGGGATCTTTCTAATTTCTTTTTGAAGGCACTTAGTGCTATGAACTTTCATAATAGCACTGCTTTCATTGTGTCCCCTATGTTTGGGTTTGTTGTGCCTTAATTTTCATTGGATTCTAGGAACTCTTTAATTTCGTTATTTCTGCCTTGACCCAGTCATCACTCAGTAGAAAGTTGTTCAATTTCTGTGAGTTTGTAGGCTTTCCCCTCTTTCTATTGTTGAAATCCAGCTTTAATCCATGATGGTCTGGTCAGATACAGGTGATTATTTCAATTTTCTTGTATCTGTTGTGACTTACTTGATGACCAGTATATGGTCAGATCTGGAGAATGCTCTGTGAGGTGCTGAGAATAAGGCATATACTTTTGTGTTTGGGGAATAGAAGTTCAGAATTGAGATACCTACCTCAAGTAGACTTTTCCTTTGATGAATGTAAAGTGTCCTTCCCATTTCTTTTGATTAATTTTTGTTGAAGTAAATTTTTGTTAGCTATTAGATTCACTACACCAGCCTGCTCCTTGGATCCATTTGCTTAGAAAATATCTTTCCAACCCCTTACACTAAAATAATATCTTTGATATTGAGGTGTGTTTCTTCTATGCAGCTGAAGGATGGATCCTGTTTTCACATCCATCCATCAGCCTGTGTCTTTTTACTGGGGAACTGAGTCCATTGATATTGAGAGATATTAATGACCACTGATTATTCATTCCTATTATTTTGTTGGTGGTGGTGGTGATAGTGTGTATGTGTGGTGTGGGGTGAGGTGGGGTGGTATGGTGTGTGTGTGTGTGTGTGTGCGCGCGCGCGTGTGTGTGCATGTGTGTATGTTTTTCTTCTTTTGATTTTGCTAGTGTAAGATTATTTATTTCCTGTGTTTTCATAGATGTAGTTAACCTTTTTTGTTGTTGGAGTTTTCCTTCTAGCATCTTATATAGGGCTTAATTTGTAGACAGATACTGTTTAATTTCGACTTTGTTATGAAATATCATGTTTTCCCTATCTATAGTGATTGAAAGTTTTGCCAGGTATAGTAGTCTGGGCTGGTATCTGTGGTCTTTTAGAGTCTGCAAGACATCTTTCCAGGCCCTTCTGACTCTTAGTGTCCCAATTGAGAAATCAGGTATAATTCTAATAGCTCTGCTCATATATATTACTTGGCTTTTTTCTTTGCAGCTTTTAATATTCTTTCTTTGTTCTGTGCAATTTAGTGCTTTGATTATTATGTGGCAGGGGGACAATCTATTTGGTGTTATAGAAGCTTTTTGTACCTTTATAGGCATCTTCTTCATTAGGTTGGTTCTTCATTTTGTTTTATGATTTTGTTGAAAATATTTTCTGGGCCTTTGAATTAGAAATATTTTCATTCTATTCCTATTATTCTTGGATTTGGTCTTTTCATATTACACCAAATATATCCTGGGTAATTTCTGTCAGGAACTTTTTAGAGTTAACATTTCCTTTTGCTGCTTTATCAATTTGTTCTAGAGTATCTTTTATGCCTGAGATTCTCTCTTTCATCTCTTGTATTCTGTTCATAATGCTTATGTCAGTAGTTCCTGTTTACTTACCTAGATGTTCCATCTCCAGGATTCCTTTACTTTATGTTTTCCTTATTGCTTCTATTTCCGTTTTCAGGTCTTAAACATATTTATTCCTTTTCTTCACCTGATTGTGTTTTCCTTGATTTATTTTTTAATGAAATTTTTATTTTTTATATTGATTACAGCTTGTTCACTTTGTATCCAAGCTGTTGCTCCCTCCATCATTCCCTCCCAATTCCACCCTCCCTTTCTCATCTCTTCCCATGCCCCTCTCCGAGTCTTCCTTGGTTTCTTTAAGAGATTTATTCATTTCCTCTTTAAGGGTCTGTATCATCGTCATAAGACTGGATTTAAGGTCTTTTTCTTGTGCTTCATCTATGTTGGAATACCCAGGGCTTGCTGCAGTAGAATAGGTAGACTCTGTTTTTTATTTTGTTTTTTGGTGACCTCCAGTCATCTGAGTTTGGGGATGGTATAGGGTTAGGTTTGGGTTTCTGACTTTCTCTTTGTTGGATGGATGTCTTTTGGATATTTTCCCCTCACTTTCTGTTTCTTCAGTGGTTTTCTGGCTTAAGAGGTGTATTGTACTGGAGAACGTAGATTCTTCAGGTCGAAGATTATGTCTTCACTTGGGTTTTGGTGTTCTGTGTGACCTCTGGGATTTGGGGTTTGGGGTCCCCTTTCCCTCTGGGGTTCTGGGACCTGGCATGATTTCTAGGGTTCTAGATATTGGTGTGGCTTCTGGGGTTCCAGATACCTCAGGTTCCCGGGTTTGCTAGTACAGTCATGGTCTCTGGTAGAGCAAGGAGTCTTCTGCTGGGCTCGTGGACTAAGATATGGAGTCCAGGTGAGAACAAAATTGGCGTTATATTAATATAGTGAAGTTTTTTACATGTAATTTAAACATATTTAAAAATTACCAATGGGGTAAAAAATGTGTTTTATATCTTTAAATGGTTTATGGTTTTGTAGACTTAACTTTTCTAGGATTTGTTTTAATTTTTGCTCTGTTTGTTTCTTTGTTCTTGTTTTTTAACCTAAGATCTTACTGTGTAACTCGAGCTGTCACTATGCCTGGCCCAGAAAACCTAATTTTATCTGTCCATTAAGTAATTATCTCCCCAGATTAAAATATAACTGCAGGATTTATTCTGGATTTCAAGGTGCATATCAATGTAGAATATAAAAATACAAAGAGGTTACTACTGAAATTTCTAAATGTAGTCAGCAAGAAAACATTCCAAGTTATGACTTTTCTACATTATCTTTTTACCTTCAGAGTTTTCACGGAAGAGAACATTTTCCTCCCTTTCTGTCAGCCACTTATGATAGATGTCTACCTATAACACATAATACTTTTGGGTGCCTTTGCTGAAAAGAATTATCATTCTGGAGCTGAAGATGATTATTAAGGTCACAGGTCTCATCACACCAGAAACAAACTTAACAAACTGTCCCATCCATAACATCTTATGGTATTAGTTTGGTCTGGATCACCAAGATAAAAAAAAAGAACTGTCATTAGAGTTAGGTCAGTATTTCCATAGTCAATCACTACACTGGTGTTCAGAAATTCTGTCTAGGCTCTCAAAATTGCCATGCTATCTTTCCTCAGTATTTTGGACTTTTCTTTTTAAATAGGACACATGTCTGCCTGAAAATACAAATGTGAATTTTGTTTATTACACAAATGAAAAAGTTTCAAAGCTTTCCTATATCCACTGTCTTTGTCTCTGTTAGCTTCCAGAATCAGTCTGCACAAAATTATGTCCTCCAGGGACTCGGAAAGGGATTCGCCAGGGGCAACCCATATGCTGCTTTGATTGCATCCCATGTGCTGATGGATATGTGTCAGAGAAACCAGGTAGAAATGGCCATTTTCTCATTGGTAGTTAATGCAAATTGGATTAACCAAGAGGTATCAGAGAGATTCTTATAAATCTTTATGAAAACATATGAGCAGCCTATAACAAAATTCATTAAATATGTAAAATTTTAAAAAGTGCAGTGTGAATAAAAGAAAATACTAGTTTTCACTTCTGATGTAAGAAAAGACCTATCACCGTGAAATTTGTAAGGAAACACCCCAAAAAAATACAAAAAAATGTGAAATATGAATAAATTTATAAAATCTTCAAATTGCCTTTTTTTGAGACTAGATGAAGCACTACCTGTACTGGGAGAAAAGTTATCCAATTGTCATAAGGTTCTTTGCACTGAAAGCAAACTCATTGTACGACTGCAGCAGCATGAAATGCTGTCACTTCACGTAGTTGCTGCTCTCTGGAGGTGACTTGGGCAGACTTGGTTTTGTGAAATATGTTGGAGCAGGTTTCCTTATATTCTTTTATGTGTAAGACAGAATGAAAATACACTTGTATTTTGTCACATGGCCCTCAAGAGTAATCATGTAAAAAGAATAAAATGGTCTGTGACAGAAGACAAACACCCTGTAACCTGCACCACTCCCTGGATTAAAGGTCCGCCAGGCTCCACCCAGAAATCCATCCAGAGATGTCCAGACCAGGAGTCAGAGTGACTGAAAGTGAACGCCAGTGCTTAGCTGAATCTTTAAATTAACACTGAGTAGATTCATTCTATCATCTGCTATAACCTCACCTCAACTACCATTTTCTTGTTCACCAATGCTTCCTTTTAGAGGCTCCATCCAGACTTAGGCCTTCTTAGCCTCATGACCAGGGATGGTGGCTTTGTTTTTCTCCCTGTTCTCCTTACATCACTCATTCAAGTGAGCATCTAGAGTTGGGAATATTTGAATGTTCACATACATGATTCTCCTGAACAAGAGACTATTAGAGGAGAGACTGAAAACACAAGGGGTTAAACCAGCTGAATCCCAATCCTTGTGATTGGTTCATCTAAGTAGATGGACTTCTCATTCCTGGGCTGTTTTGGGGTTGATAAAAACATAGACCTCTTTCCTCAATCAAGAGTTGGAGGAGAAAAAAAGGAGCACATCACTAACAATCCAATTCAAGAAAGGCTGCGGTTGAAAAGAAATGCTCAGTTCCTCAAATTAAAGACAACTCTCAATCTGCCACAGCATCTGTAGGCACCAAGGCCATTTCTACCACGACTAAATTTAAGATATTATCTATATTTTATAAAGGGTTTCCAGTAAACCTTGTTCAGGTCGTTAGGTGCCCTGGACTGTTCACAGTTAAAAGTGACAACTGGGTTCTCTTGACGCCAATTCTCTGTTCTCTCTCAATAGGTCAAAGGGAATGTGAGCCATGTGGTGAAGATGACTGGTCCAATGCACAGAAGAGCAAGTGTGTGCCAAAGGACGTGGAATTCCTGGCTTGTGAGGAGGCCCTGGGGTTCACCCTCGTCATCCTCTCCATCTTTGGGGCACTTGTGGTCTTGGCGGTCACCGTGGTGTATGTGATCTATAGGCACACTCCACTGGTGAATGCCAATGACCGGGAGCTGAGCTTCCTCATTCAGATGTCTCTGGTCATCACGGTGCTGTCTTCCATGCTGTTCATAGGCAAGCCACAACACTGGTCCTGCATGGCCCGCCAGGTCACTCTGGCTCTGGGCTTTTGCCTTTGTCTGTCTTCCATTCTTGGGAAGACTATCTCACTCTTTTTTGCCTACAGGATCTCTGTATCCAAAACAAAGCTCATATCCATGCACCCCATTATTCAAAAACTCATCGTGCTGGTCTGTGTTGTAGGGCAGGTTGGTGTATGTGCCGCTTACTTGGTGTTGGAGCCTCCGAGGATGTTCAAGAACATTGAAATTCAAAATGTAAAGATCATCTTTGAATGCAATGAAGGTTCTATAGAGTTTCTGTGCTCCATATTTGGGTTTGATGTTCTCCTGGCTTTGCTGTGTTTTCTTACAACCTTTGTGGCTCGCCAGCTGCCAGATAACTATTATGAAGGGAAATGCATCACTTTTGGGATGCTGGTCTTTTTCATTGTCTGGATCTCTTTTGTCCCAGCTTACCTGAGCACCAAAGGCAAATTCAAAGTGGCTGTGGAAATCTTTGCCATTTTGGCATCCAGCTATGGCTTGTTGGGCTGTATATTTCTTCCCAAGTGCTTCATCATCTTGCTGAGGCCAAAGAGGAACACTGATGAAACTGTGGGTGGAAGAGTGCCCACTGTAGACAGGAGCATCCAGCTGACCTCTGCCTCTGTGAGCAGTGAGCTCAACAACACCACAGTGTCTACTGTTCTGGATGAGTAGAGCCATGAGCTCCACGGGACATACAAAGCTGGATGATGACCCGGCTGAACCTTCCCTTTTGCTTCTGAGGCAGCTACTGCTGCTCTGGGGTAGTGTTGGAGATTTGGCCTTTCATAATGTAGTCTTAGCATAGTGAACAACATACTAATCTATAAAATACCATTTGGCAAGATTATAGTGTGACATGATTGAAATTAAAAATGATTTTTTGTAACATTTCTTTGGAATTTTAGAGTTGAGACTAAGACAGATACAACTTCTCTGAAATGATAAGAAAAGAGACCCAGAAACATATTAACAAACCTTATTTTCTTCTTTAACTCATAATAGTATTAGAAAAGCTTCTGTAAGGGATGTTGCCTGCCCCGGAATTTCCTAGAGGACAATAAGTGATAAAGTATCACTCTGAAAATAGTCCTCTAAGCAACAAAAACGAAAAGGATTAAGATTCCAGTTAAGTGTAATAAAGACTTTAATTTCAAAGAAAGCGAACACTTATCCAGAACAATTTGGGAAGAAAGTTAGTGATATTCCTCCTGTCATTATGCAGAGTTACGTAGAATTTGATCCCACTGAGGAAATGTTATAAAATATTTTCAAACTCCTATTCTTATAGATAAAGGACATGTAGATATAGATAGATGATATATAGTTAGAAGGATAGATGATACAAAGACAGATAGATAAAGGTAGATGATAAGGAGATAGATCAATGATAGATAGATAGATAGATAGATAGATAGATAGATAGATAGATAGATAGATGGATTAAACAGGCAAAAAACACACTATTTGTAGAAATTCTGACAAACCAAAAGTATAAGTGAATATTTGAGTTGAGAATTCCAAGAGGAACAGAAAGTGTTTTGTCTTTGAGAGAGCTCAGTAATGCCTGTGAATCAAAATCAACCAAACTGGACATGTTCATCCAGGCATCAGGACAGAAAGTGGGATGTCAATGAGAACTTTAGCAGAGTAAGCTGAGAACTCACTTACTGATTCTTACAGTGATCGCCCCAGATCAGATAAAAGGAATGTGCTTCCTACAGTTTAAATAAGTTTCTATCAAGGGCAGCAAGCCTCAAAAGTCATCATATTTGTTGGAGGCAGAATGTACACCGGTATTTCCTGGACAAACATCTATTAACTCATCCATCTCCCACTTCTTTCCAGTGTTCTGCACTACAGAGTGGATGAAATTTTGTACTATAGTATGAAAAGCAGAGAAATTTATTTCTTTGGTCATTTCTTAATTCCATTTACTTATTTGATATTTCATTCATGTGAATATACTTTGGGAAAGGGAGTATGAGTCTTTGAAAGTATAGAATGATAAGTAAGTAAAACTCTGGACACTTCACATTTCAGTCAGGCATACAGCTGGAGCATTATCAGTGCTCAATCTTGAGGTTAAAAATAAGATAGGATGATGTCCCCATCCCTCCACTAGGAATCCTGTCTAATTAGAATGTGTCCTCTTCAGTCTCCATGACCCCTGTTATTAGGAGTCTCAGCTAGAGTAACCCCCATATCCTCCCAGAAGCCTCCCCTGTCTTAGACCTCCAGCTGTCATAGAGATGCCCCCAACCATGTTTCTCTTCTCTCTGCTGGCCTTCTGTCCTTCCACCCCAGCTCTCGCCAGGTCTGAGCCCCATCTTCCTTTCTCTCTGTGTTCCCTCTCTTCAACCAATTCTACTACCTATTCTATTTCCCTTCTGAGTGAGATTTAAGCATTCTCCCTTGGAGCCTCCTTGTTACTTATCTTCTTTGGGTCTGTGAATTGTAGTATGTGTATCATGTACTATATGGCTAAAATCTGCTTATAAGTGAGCATATACCATGTGTGTCTTTCTGGGTCTGGGTTACCTCATTCAGGATGATCTTTTTTCCATCCATTTGTCTGCAATATTTATGATTTTCTTGTTTTTAATAGCTGAGTGGTTTTCCATTGTGTAAATGTACCCACAGTTCTCTATCCATTCTTCAGTTGAGGGCCATCTAGTTTGTTTCCAGATTTTGGCTATTTTAGCTCTATTACAAATAGAGCTACTATGAACATAATTGAGCAAGTGACCTTGTTGTATGGTGGGGCATCTTTTGGGTATATGCCAAAGAGTGGTATAGCTGGGTCTTGAGGTAGAGCAATTCCTAATCTTTTGAGAAAGCACCCAATTGACTGTCAAAGTAGTTGTACAAATTTTCACCCCCACAAGCAATGGAGAGGTATTCCCCTTTCTCCACATCCTAAGTAGCATGTATTGACACTTGAGTTTTGTGTCTGTGTGTGATAGACATTTTTTCTTTCTTTTTATTTTATTTTATTTTTCACAATTTATTCATTATATATCCCAATTGTAGTCCCCTCCCTCAAATCCTTCCAGTCCCACCCTTTCTCCCTCTTTCCCCTATCCCCTTCTCCTAGTCCACTGAAAGGGGGAGTTCTCTTCCCCTGCCATCTGTTCCTTGCTTATCAAGTTTCATCAGTACTACCTGGATCCTCTTCCATTGTGGTCTGGCAAGGCCATACTCCAGGGGCAAGTGATTAAAAATCAGGCAATGGAGGTCATGAGGAGTCCCTGCCTCCTTACTCAGGAAGACCTACATGGAGACTTGGCTACCAATCAGCTACGTTTGAGCAGTGTGTCTAAATCTCCTCCATGCATGGTTCTTGATTGGTACATCAGTCTCTGCAGCACCTTGTTCAGATCAATTAGCTTTGTTGGGCTCCTGGTGGTGCCCTAATACTTTAGATTTTTTTTAATTTAATTATTTTTACCTCCCCCTGAGGGGGGAGTAGCCTTACCAGGACACAGAGGAAGACAATGCAGCCACTCCTGATGAGATCTGATAGACTAGGATCAGAGGGAAAGGGAGGAGGATCCCCCTTATCAGTGGACTGGGGGAGGGAGATGGATGGGGAAGAAGGAGGGAGGGATTAGGAGGGGAGGAGGGAGGGAGGTACGAGGGGATACAAAGTGAATAAACTGTAATTAATAAAAATAATTAAAGTCACTTGAATTTTTTATCTTAGCTATTCTGCCAGGTGTGAGATGAACTCTCAGAGTCATTTTGATTTGCGTTTTCGTGACGACTAATGATGATGAGTGTTTCTTTAAGTGCTTCTTGGCCCATTCGAGGTACCTCTATTGAGAGTTCTCTGTTTAGCTCTGTACTCCATTTTTAAATAGATTATTTTATTTGTTGGTGTTTAATTTATTGAGTTTTTCTTTGTCGGATGTAGGATAGATGAATTTTTTTTTCTCAATCTGTAGACTACTGTTTTGTTCTATTGACAGTGTCCTTTGCCTTACAAAAGCTTTTCTATCTCATAGGTACCATTTATTAAATATTGACCTTGGAGCCTGAGCTGTTGGTGTTCTGTTCAGGGTGTTGTCTCCTGTGCCAATGAGTTCAAGGCTCTTCCCTACTTTCTCTTCTAATAGATTTAGTGTATCTGTTTTATGTTGAGGTCCTTGATACACTTGGATTTCAGTTTTGTGCAGGGAAGGAGGGGAACACCAACCCACCCACAAAACCTTTGACCCAAAATTTACCCTGCCTACAAGATATGCAGGAATAAAGAGAGAACAGAGATTGAGGGAATGCCCAACCAATGCCTGGCCCAACCGGAGGACCACCCCATGGGAGACAGCAAACCTCTAACACTATTAATGATACTCTGCTATGCTTGCAGACAGGAGCCTGGAATAACTTTCTTCTGAGAGGCTCCAGATAGCAGCAGATCAGAATAGGTGCTGATACTCACAGCCAAATATTGGATGAAGTGTAGGGTGTCTTTTGGAAAAGGTGGGGAAAGGATAAGAGGGCCTGGAGGTGACAGAAGTTCTAGAAGACCAAGAGACGCAACTAACCAGGGCCCCGCTGGGTTTGCAGAAGCGGAAGCACCAACCAAGGACCATGAATGGACTGGACATGGGCAACTACACAGATGTACCTGATGGGCAGCTTGGGCTTCGTGTGGGTTTCCTAGCGAGGGGGGGCAGGGCTGTCTCCAACCTGGACCCTATTGCCCACTTTTTGATCACTTCCACTTGACTGGGCTGCTTCACCTGGCCACAGTGGAAAAGAACGCGCTCCGTCCTGATACGACTTGATGAGCTGAGGTGTGTTGGAGTGAGGGGCTCCACTTTTCTGAGGAACAGGAGAGGGGGCATAGAGGAAGATGGAGAAAGGGTGGGACCAGGAGAAGAGGAGGGAGGGGGCTACAATCACGATGTAAAGTTGAGTAAATAAATTAATTCTTTAAGAAATGAAATTAGAAATGACACCTAACAAATAGCAGATACTATGTTTATGAAGTAAACCTATTAAATTTATTAGTAAATTTAGCCACTTGTTTGTGCTAAACACGTTTATAATAAAATCTCTTTTTGTAACTTAAAAAATAAATAAAAAAATAGTATGGGAGCTGGCTTAGGTCTAACAAATTGGTTTGCTTATAAACTCAGAATATTTCTTTTCTGAGTAGATTATTGAACTTGTGGTCTATAAAAAAGCTGTTCCAGATTTCTGTTTAATATCAAAGATTCCATGACCTTCTCACACTACATTGCATTACAACTATCTTATCTGACACATGTTAATGGGTTCAATTATATACACACGTGTGTACTCTTTTCTTGTGCAACTTCATAGTCTTTTTTTTAATTTTTTATTAATTACACTTTATTCATTTTGTATCCCCCCATAAGCCCCTCCCTCCTCCCCTCCCGATCCCACCCTCCCTCCCCTTTCTGCATGCATGCCACTCCCCAAGTCCACTGATAGGGGAGGTTCTCCTCTTCTTTCTGATCTTAGTCTATCAGTTCTCATCAAAAGTGGCTGCATTGTCCTCTACTGTGGCCTGGTAAGGCTGCTTCCCCCTCAGGGGAAGTGATCAACGAGCAGGCCAATCAGATTATGTCAGAGGCAGTCCCTCTTCCCATTACTATGTAACCCACTTGGACACTGAACTGCCATGGGCTACATCTGTGCAGGGG